CAAGTTTAAAGCTTGAAGCTTCCAGAGACACCTAAATGGCCGGAGGCTGAGTGAAAGTCCATGGTTGACCTCATTTATTTGCAGTTGACCCTTCTCCCAAAGTGCAGCCCTTTGGGGTTCTAGCCTAATGTAATAAAAATACATATACCAGGCACGTCTGGGTGGCTCAGTCAGTTAAGCGTCTGCCTTCAGCTCAGGTCATGAGCCTGGGGTCCTGGGATCAAGCCCCGCATCGGGCTCCCTGCTCAGCGGGGAGTCTGCTTCTCCCTCTGACCCTCCCCCGTCTCGTGCTCGGTCTCTCTCTCTCTCACTCTCTGAAATAAATAAATAAAATCTTTTTAAAAAATACATATACCAGATTCCCGACTCTTGGACGGCCACAGACTCCTAGCTCATCCCCTCTGCTGCTGCTTCCGAATCAGTAAATACTCCCAAGGACAAAAGCACCTTGCATGCTCAGTTTATCTTTCTGGGTTTCTACGTGTAGACCTTGGCCTGGTAACCCCTCACACTCATGTTCGCTCTTCACTGCTTGCTTTAAAAGAAAAAAAAAGAAAGAAAAAGAAAAAAAAACTTATATTGTGAAATAATTTTAGATTTCTGGAAAATTGCAAAGATAGTGCAGAAAGTACCTGAATATCCTTCACTCTGTTTCCCCCTAATGTTAACATCTTACATAACCTGATACATTTGTCACAACGACGCAATTAACATCGGTACATTACTATTAGCGAAACTCCAGACTTTATTAGGATTTCACTAGTTTATCCACTAATATCCTTTCTCTATTCTGGGGATAGATTCTGCAACCCAGGGGACCCCACTACTACATTTAGCTTTCAAAGTTTTTGCGAAGATTTTAAAATACATGTCTGTTTCATCCAGCTTCTGACAGAGGATGGTCCTAATCACCCCGTGTTCTGGGCTGCCCTCTCCCTTCATCTCACGGTCATTCCTAGAAGTAAAAAGTCCGTCACTGAGTCAACATAAAAATCTCAAAAGGAGTTTTCAGATTTGTTTCAGTGGAGGAGGTTGAAAGACTGAGTTCGCAACTGGCTGGGGCTGGGGGAGCCGTAGGTGGGCTAGAGAATGGGATGTGGGTGAGAAAACAAATTCTCTGGTGGTTTAGGCTATGACACAGCAACAAACAAACTGTAAGATCTCAGTGGCTAAACACTTGGAAGTCTATCTTTGGCTCACACCAAGTCAGCTGCAGACTGGGGAACTGTCGGGGCAGCTTTCTCCCAAGCGGTGAATCAGGGATGCAGGCTTTTTCCAGCCTGTGGCTCATCCATCTTTGTGGGGGACACTTCATCCCCACTCCTGATGTTTCCTTCCAAGAAGGGAGAGGCCCACTGGCATAACACCCTTGGTCTTTCTCTATGCCTTTGCTTACTTGCTTGATGAATTTGGAAGGAGAAACAAGGCATGTCTCACCTAGCCCTCTGTTCTTCTCTCTCTCCTGGGAGCTGGCTCGCCTGCAGAGTGTGCGTTCTGGACTGCTTCTGCAGCTGGAGTGTGACAGGGACGGCCCCAGCCCCATTGTTGGGGGGGGGCTGCAGTCTTCTAGCAAGGCCTGGGACTGCAGAAAGTCTGCCTAATTCTGCCCACTCTGCTCCATCCAAAGCCTTGTGAGCGCACCTGTATGAACACAATGTATACTTTTTTTTTCATCGATTCAGTCATCATCTAAAGCAGTGGCTCTCAACCCAGAGTAGGTTTGCCTCCCAAGGGGACATTTGACAACGCTTAGAGACATTTTTGATGGTCACAACTGGGGAGGCGGGGTGTTGGGCAGGGAGGAGACTACCGGCATCTAGTGGGTAGAGGCCAGAGATGCGGCTAAGCATCCTATAATGCACAGGACAGCCCCTCATAACATAGAATTATCTAGGCCAAAATGTCAGTAGTGCTGATGTTGAGAAACTCTGATTTAAGAGGAACAAATTGCCATCTTAGATCAGCGGAAGTGACTTAGTCCGAGCGAGTCCAATGCAGAGGGGAACCAGATTGGGGTGACTGCCTAGCTGGGCTCTTGTCTGGCCAGATGTTGTCTGTCCTGCTAACAGGTCTTACTAAACCCTACCCCACAGCTGGGACTTCAGTTTCGATGCAGGTTTTCTCAGATGGCTCCAAGGAAACTTGACAGTTCTCCCCAGTTCTCCTTCCTCCCTAAAGTGGTTCTAAGCCCTGGAGGTTGTTAATTACCATCAGGACCTAGGAAAGCAGGGGGCAGCCTTTACCATTACCTGCCCGTGCCAGCAGCATCCACTGGGCTCTCCACTTCCTCTGGGATGCGGTGTGGCTGTTCCTTCCTGCCTGGGTCTGCCGCCCATCCCACCGCCCCAGTCACAGCACCTCCAGGCTCACAGATGTCATGAGGATGTGATGAGCCTGCCACAGGGTCACAGAGCCAGGAGTCCATCCTATGATGGCAGAGCACCTCCCAATACTCTAGGTAAGAAGCAGGACACAAGTACGGTCTCCTCTCAGATCCCCAAACCCATCGTGGGGGGTGGGGGGGCTATCCATTGCTCCTCATATACCCCATGGGGTAGGACTAGCTGCAGTGCTCACATCAATGTTCCACTCAAGGCCCTTCTCCCCAACTCATGCACCACTTTTAAGCCTGATAATCTGTTTTTAATGCAGTCCTCAAGCCTAGCTCCTGGCTAGGTGCGGGGCTGGGAGGGTAGAGGGAAGGACTTCATAATACGCATGAAGGGAACAGGAATGATGCATACTGGACCCAACACTGTCTTCATAAAAATACAATTCTTGGTAACACTTCCTTTACTCTCCGTAAATGACAACCATAAATAATATGCCTTCTCGTACACTTAATTTTTAAAAATCACAATACCATACCTGAACTGTAATAGAGGGAAAAAATAAAAGGAAAACAATTTGTAACCACATAACACATATTTCAAAATGTCAGTGCTCAGGCCCTGTGACACTAGAAAACAATGAAGTGTCAGATACTGGCCCCTGCTTAAAATAAATCACTTAGGATTCAAGAAAAGTAAGAAGATCAGAGTTTATTCTGTATAAGGACAAAAACAGGAAAGAAAGAGATAATGATCAAAGTCTAGAATAAATATTATTTTAATCTGTGTTTTTAAAACCACAAAAACGGATTACCTTTTGATATTTTTAAAAAGATTTTATTTATTGAAAAAAGATTTCATTTATTTATTTGAGAGAGAGAGAGACAGAAATAGGGAGAGAGAGCACAAGCCGGAGGAGGGGGACAAGCAGGCTCCCCGCTGAGCAGGGAGTAAGACCCTGGGATCATGACCTGACCCGAAGGCAGATGCTTAACCAACTGAGCCACCCAGGCGCCCAAACTTTTGTTGTCTGTACTTGTGATGGAGTTCGGTCCCGGGGCCCCTGCTCTTTCAATGCCCATTGTGAAATTGAGACATGTCTCCCCACGTTGCCAGAATCACACACACACACACACACACACACTCATACAATGCACACACACAATCTCCCCTCCCAGAACAACTGAGTTAATGCTTCAAATATTAACCCAGCAAGTGAGAAAAATTCCAGCTGTACATGTGGAAGCACATATGCTCCACAATGTTAACCCTGGTTTTCCAAGGGAGAGGGGAATTAAAAGAAACACTCCCACTTTTTTCATTTATTTATTTTTTTTAAAAGATTTTTTACTTATTTATTTGACAGAGAGAGACACAGCGAGAGAGGGAACACAAGCAGGGGGAGTGGGAGAGGGAGAAGCAGGCTTCCTCGCGGAGCGGGGAGCCCGATGCGGGGCTCCATCCCAGGACCCTGGGATCACGACCTGAACCGAAGGCAGACGCTTAACGACAGAGCCACCCAGGCGCCCCTCATTTATTTTTTAACATTCCTGAATTGTGTAAAAGTTTGCTTGCGACCAGTATGAACTTTGCAATCAAATAACCCCCGACAGAGCTATTTTGAAAAACGATGTGTCAGGGCTCCCTCTAGTGTGTGTGTGTGTGTGTGTGTGTGTGTGTGTGTGTGTGTGTGTGTGTGTGTGTGTTTTGGTCCTTTAAAGCAGGATTCATTTCTGTGATAGGAAATTGCTAATTCACTTTTTTAAATGCCCAGACAACTTAAAGCGGATGGGGAGACCAGCCTTACAGCGCGGCCTGCAGGTGGCTCCAGGGATCCCGCTCGGCCCAGCCCTTCGGCTTCCCCCCCGCTCTCCTTTCGCAGCGCCTCCCTGTGGCTAAAAGCGGTACTGCGTCCTCCGGGAAGCGGTGGAGGAGAAGGATGTGGGGGGCACTGGCAGAGGGACCCCCCACCTCGGTACCATTGACCACTTAGCAGTCTGGTAAAGCTTATGGACCTCTTCTCGGAATAATCGTCTTTTCAATATACAAAATAATACACATATGCCTAAAAGAACGCCAACAATATTGAAGTGGTTATCAAAATGTTTATGTGTGTAATATAGTAGTAAATGTGCTTCATTACTGCTTTCAATAACCAGTTCTAGTGGCAGGCCTGGTAACTAATTATTTTCCACATACTGAGGAGCACATACGATATTTCAAGCTATCGGCGACAACATGCCAGTGTCGGATTTTTTGGTGACAAAGTCCCAGACACTGCTAGCACAATAGAAGGAAAAGATAAACCACTTAAAGGTTGGTAAAAGTCAATATGTAATTTTTTCAGTCTTGGACTCTCTGGATTCTGCACAGAGATCCTCTGGGGTGCATGGCGGTGGGCATGGTTAAGACCCCCCCCGAAGGGGTCCAGGTTGGGGAGAAGCCCTCGGGTGCTTTTTGGGGGGGGTTGCGGTAAACCGCGCGGCTGGGGCGCACCGAGGGTAAGTAAAGGGAATGGCAGAGGCGCCTCCCTCTGTGCCCAGAGGGGGGACCTGCAGGCCCCTCCCCCCTTCCTGGTCCTGATCTAGTGCCTCTGGAGGAAGTTAAAGCCCTGCGTGGTTCAGAGAGCTCCCAGTTCCTGCGTGTGCTCCTGCATGTCCAGCGCCCACCATGTGGCCCCTGGTCCTGCTGTGGGGCTGCCTTTTGCTCCCAGGTGAGATGGGGCAGGAGAGGGAGGAGTGGAGGGATGTGGGGCTCATGCCCAAGCTGGCAGAAAGAGGACTTCCTGAACCTACCTTTCATTCTTCTGACCCACTGCTGCCTGATCCTTCCGGGTCTTGCCCCCACCGCACTGGTCCTCAGTCTGCAGAGGGGGGGAGGGGCGGGGGCAGGCACTTGCTGTTTCTGGAAGGCAGAGCTGGGTTTTCTCCCAGACCTCTGGTTCCAAACCCTTCATGTTTAGGTGGCTAGGAGGGGGGCTTTACCTCTGTCATTTTTATTTTCCTACTCTACACCCAGCCTGGAGGCAGACAAGACAACCCTACGTGGTTGCCATGGTAAACTCTGCAAATATTTCTTGAGCCTCTACTGTACCACTCACAACAACCCTGAGAGATAAGGGATTATGCTGTTTCATCAGTTCATAGGTCTGCCTCTTCAACTTTTTAACATCCAATATCAGGGTGCGTCTTGTAACGGATGACAATTGTTCAAGTGACCATGATTTTTTTAGTGGTATATAAAATTATGGTGTATCTTACGTATGATAGCATCTTAATTTCAGTGAACTAAGACATCATCATCATCATCATCATCTATAAATGGGAAAGCCCAGATGCCCAGGGAGGGCAAGTAACTTCCCCACGGTCACACAGCTACTAGGTGGCAGTGCTGGGATTCCAAATCCAGGCTGTCTGAATCTAGAGCTTCCCCATCACCACCCTTCCATATGCCAATTTTAGGGAAACAGCAACAGCCCTGTCCCAGTTTCCCTTGGTGGGGAAGAGACCACCAGCTCTTTCCAGGGCTGCTGCAGAAGGGAGTGACTGAGGAGGAGTCTTCTGGTCTTGACCCTGGAACTTGAATCCATGGAATTCTGACCTCTGTCCCTACTATGGTTTCAGGTTATGGAGCTGTGCTGGGCCCCAAGGAGATCACTGGGTTTGAAGGTGACACGGTGTCCCTGCAGTGCACCTACCAGAAGGAGCTGAGGACACACCAGAAATACTGGTGCAGGGAGAAGGGGTTCTTCCTGTCCCGCTGCTCGGGTACTGTCTATGCAGGAGAAAATGGCCAGGAGACAAGAGAGGACAGGGTGTCCATCCAAGACAGCCCCCAGACGCTCACGCTCCACGTGACCCTGAGGAATCTCACCCTGCAGGACACTGGGAAGTACTTCTGTGGGGTCTCCAAACTGGGCCGAGACGAGTCTTTCCTGGTCTCTCTGCTTGTCTTTCCAGGTAACACATGTCTCTGCTTCTCTGGATGGGGGACAGGTGACACAGAAGGGAAGAGGGAAGGGTGGGCCGCTGATCAGTGCAGGACCCCGTTTCCTCCTCGCCCACAGGTGTAGTGCTTGTACCAACTTCCTTGGGAGTGGGGGGCGCTCAGTGAGATGATGCTGGTCAAGTGTTGGCTGTCACGGGAGTAGAAGCGGTGCAGCATGACCCTCGGCTGCTCTTTGACAAGGTCACACACGCAGATCTGTTGAATTCCCTGCTCAGTGCCTTTCCTCTTTGCCCAGATGTGGGAGAGAGACTGCATGGGCTGGGGATGAAATGGGCAGCCCACAGAATAAAAAAGACTCCCTCTTTGGAGTCAGAGATATTCCTGAGGATCCTGCAGGACGGGCCCACCATTGTGCAGCATCCCAGACCCACTCCACAGTGCCCCCCGCCCAGCCATGGCCACACTGGCCTCACCCTGCCCGTGGTCTCAGCTCTCCCTTCCTGCTTCCCTTCCGCAGATCTTGAAGTCCCAAAGGCAGGTATGAGGAGGGTCCGAGATCTAGCCTTGGAGGAGGAGCTTGTTGAGTTCAGGGACACTAGGGGATTCTGGCTGGGGAAGGAACATCTCTCTGGATGCCCAGAGCCCCACTGGATCTGCCGAGCTGAGAAGAGAGAAGTCAGAGAGGGCCCAGGGGAGTGGGCAGCCCCAGTCTGCCAGCCAGTAAGGGTGAGGCAGGTCTTTGTATCCCATTTCACAGATAGATGGGGGCCCGAGGCTCCAGAGATGAAATGATTTGCTTGAGGTTTCATGGCAGGAGGTGATGGAGCCAGGATTCAAATCCAGGTTTTTTTCTCGCTTTGGTGTCTGCTCTTTCCCTCCCCTGGCCCCATCTGGGACCCTCCCCATCCCCAGGCAGTCCCCACTGTCAGATCCCTGACATCCATGGTCTTTATTTTAATTCAAGGAGATAGAAATAAGCTCACCAAATAATAACAACAGTATCATAACCATATTGAACCTGTTCTCCATTATTTCCAAGCTTCTCTGATCCCCTCTGATTCTTATCAGTATTCAGACCTCCTTCTTACTTAGTGGGGATCAATTTTAGCTATATTTAAGGCTATTTTAAATTTTTACCTCATTTATAATTATTCATTTGTGTGTGATATGTGCGTTATTATGTTATCCTGTGTCAGACATTGTTGACCTTTCTCTGATGATATTTGGGGTACAGAAAATAAAGGCTAATGACAGTGGTGTGCGGGTGAATGTTTAGCTGGGGAAGCTCTGATTTGCAAGGTCTGCCAGTTTCTGTGGTTTAAATGCCCCCACCCTCCCCAATTTCCAGCCACCGATAGTTTAATGACGAGCTCACAAAATTCCTGAAAAGTAAACAGCTCTCCTGAGTCAGTGGGAGCCATCTGCAGCACACCACTGAGTATGGCGACAGATCAGCATTTCTAGAAAGGTCAGAACAAGACAAGAGTATCCACTATCGTTTCTTTTATTCCCCATTGCCTGGAGGCTGTAGGCCATGAAATATGACAAGATAAAGAAGTATACATATCGGATAGGAAAAGATAAATACCCTTTATTTGCACAAGATTTGATCATTTACTCAGAAAAATCAGAGAAAACCTGACCTCGTATTAGAATAGAGACTGAATCACAGACTTGTACCCCTGAAACAAATAATACATTATATGTTAATAAAAAATTGTAGTAAGATAAAAAAATAAAAATAAAAAATAAATAGAGAATGATGGGGACAGGGAGCGAGTCCCGGATGGCACTCCAGCAAGGAGGTGACCGAGGGGCACCCAGGGGCAGGGGGAGGGTGGGCAGGGAACTCGGCGGTTCCAGGGGGGTTGGCCACACCATGTTTCTGCCCACTCTGCCGGGCACATAGGCTAGGCATCTCACCCTTGAGGGATCCCAGCCTCTTGGGACAGAAAAGAGTGTGTCAGGCAGAGGTGGAGAAGAGAGGCATGGCACACAGGGGAACAGCACGGCAAAGGCACGGAGGTGGGCAGGATGCTCACTTCATTGGGAAGAGAGGGCAAATAGAGGAATGGCTGGTGCCCCAGATGGCAAAGAGGTGAAGCCGACATGGTGAACTGAGGTCTGAGTTTGAAAGACTTTGAAAGGCCTGTAAGAAGCTTGAGCTTCAGCTCATAGGCAATGAGGGCCACTGAAACAGTTCTGGAGCAAGAAGCGATGGAATCCAGTATCCCATATCCGGATCCATATTCTAGAGCCAAAACCAGTATTGGTGTGAAGAGTGGCCTGGAAAGAGCAGACTGGCAGGCAGTTGGGGACAAGGGAAGCCGAAGGTCTGAGCTAAGTGGGGGGCCCAGGGGACTACAGGAGGGGGAGACCACCAATCGACTCGAATCTTCCATCCGTGACTCCCAAGTGGCTGGAGGGAGGAGACAGTGGAGACTCTGAGCAGAGAGGTGCGGGCAGGAAAGCTACCGGCTGCCACCAAGGCAGGAAATCTGGCTCATGGTGGTGATCCTCGCCCCCCCTGAGACCAGCCTCTCCCTTTCCCTAGGTCCCTGCTGCCCTCCCTCCCCTACTCCCCCCTTCCAGCCTCTTACTACAAGGAGCCTCCAGCCCAAGGCAAAAGCTTGGCAAACTCAGCCCCCAGAATTGAGTGAGTGAATGGTTTTCCTGTCTCCCCTCCACCCCTCTGTAAAGTGGCATCCAGTGAGGGCCTGCCGATAGCCAGACACTGCGCTCCCCGGCCCCCAGAGCCTGGGAGCTGTACTGTCCGCGGAGGAATCAGGGGCCCCATGGGGTCAGGTCACCCAAGGAGGAGCAGAGCCCAGGGAAGAGGCGCAGCCTGACCGCCAGGCTTGTGTTCTGTCTGCTCGCCCCGGGGTTGGAGGGCTGAGCAGGAAAGGTAGGGCCCTGGACCCTGACCTCTGGACCTGTCCCTACCACCCTGCCCTGCTGGCCCCATGGCTGTTGAAGGAGGTCAAGGCCTGTTGAGGCAGAGGTGGTAAGGGTGGGCATGTGGCGACTTGCAGTGATAAGTGGCCAGGACTGGAGTGGGAAGCAGGCGGGCCTCTGTGTGCTGCGTGGCCACTGGAATGGGTCACGGAGTGGGCACAGGGCTGTGACGACCCAGGCAGTGGGTGCGGACAGGGGCTGAAAACCACGCGCGGGTGTGGGACGTGCCTGAGACAATGGCTTCATCTAGGCCTCTCTTTGCTTCCTGGGCGGTCCTTTAGCTGGGGAAGTTCTGAGAAATTGGTCCTGGGGAGGCTAGGGCTCAGGGGTCGGAGAAGGTGCTGAGGCGTTGCTTTTGGACTTGTAGCTCCTCCTGGTCTCCACCAAACAGTCACCACAACCAAGCAGGGGAAGACAGGGGCCGAGGCCTCTCCGTTCACGGGGACCTCCCCGTACGGGCACGCAGGAACCTCCCCAGACCCAGGAAGCTCTCCGTACGCGGGGACCTCTCCTCATGAAGCAACCTCTCCTCATGCAGGGACATCCCACCCATCCACACAGCTGGACTCCACCTCCGCGGAGGACACCCATCTGCCCCCCAGCAGCAGCAGCTCCGTGTCCAGGTGAGCCCAGGGTGACCAAGGTCACCTTTCAGGCCATCCCCAGAACATGAGGTGCCCTGGAGCAAGTGAGGACCTGGCACTCCTTCCTCTAGGCCAGCACAGCCTCCTGTCAGGGCCGCAGCTAACAGCACAGAGGGCAGACTCGGCCCCCATCCCCCCTCCGCAGGGCCCTTGAGCAGTGGACGACCTGCGCTGCAGAGCCGGCAACCCTGTTGCTCTGGACACACAGGCCCACCTGAAGTGAAGGGTCCACCGTGGCCCCAGTCCCCACCCCAGTCTCCCCACCCCAGCCACAGGGGCAACCACCCCAGTTTCCCCGGCACACCTTGCACTGGGCACTGTGCCGAGCACGAATATAGGTTTTTTCTTATCCAACTGGAACCACAGCCTGAAGGATTGGTTCTTGGGGGTTATAGATAATTGCACTCAGTTACTGATGGAGGCTTTCTGCCTGAGGCGTCCAGGTACCTGCTGCCAAGTTCAGACCAGCTGAGAGCGCTTCCTGGAGTTGGTAGTGGGGACTGGGGTCCCTCCCAGTGGGACTGACCAGGTGCTGTGGTCCCCGGTGCCCTCTGATCTCTTTGGGAAAGACAAGGGGCATGGCTGGGACACAGACCAAGAATGTCATGTGCACAGCATGCTACTGCTCTCTGGTGACACCTGCTGGCCTCCTTCCATCTCACCCACAGGGTCTCCATCCCAAAAGTCCGCATCTTGGCCCCGGGCCTGGTGCTGCTGGCCCTCCTCCTGGCCGCAGGCCTGGTGGCCCTCGGCAGCTATCTGCTCCGCTGGAGGAAGGAAGGTGAGCAAAAGTAGAGGGAGGGGGTGGGAGGTCAGGGACCTCGCTGAGACCTGCAGTGCCACCCACCACCCCAGGGAGACCTTGTGCATCGGTGTGTCCATCCGAGGTATGGGCATCAGGAACCCTGCTCCTCCCTTCTGAGGGAGCCACAGGTCAGTCAACATTAGGAAAAAGCAATTCAAATGCGTGAATGGGAGAACGGGGGCTCTTGGCTTGCTCCCATCTGTCCAAGCTCATCAATCACTTCTGTCCCTATTGATCCCAGCAAATCCATGTCCAGCCTCTGCAGGTCCAGTTCCTTGCGTGACTACCACAGCAGGGGCTGTGGGGTGGGAATTCAAGACTAAGCCCTTGAACAGGAAGGATACTGTGGCCTCACACCCATCGGGGTCTCGAGAGGTGCTCAGCTCCTGTGAAGACTTGACTTCGAATCCCAGCTCTGCTACTTTTTAGCTGTGTGACCTTGGGCAAGTCATCTACCTTCCCTGAGCCACAACTTTTTTGGATCACAGATCTAGAATACAAGAGAACTAGAACAGAAATAGAATACGAGTCCAACCAAAGTAGAATCCAAGCCACATATGTAATTTAAACTTCCCTAAAAGTCACATGATAAAGGGTAGAAAGAAACAAGGGATGTTAATTTTAATAATATACTTTATTAGTATGATCTTTCCAAAACATGATCATTTCAAGGTGGAATCAACATAAAACTATTTATGATACATATTCCGCATTCTGCATTTTTTCACATTGAGTCTTCAAAACCTAGCGTGATTCGGAGAAGTCATGCTTCCGGTGTCAGTGGCTGCCCCCCCCCGGCAGACAGCATGGGTTAAGAGGGTTGGCCGAAATATCAGTCAGAGGAGCCCATGGGCTGTGCGTTTCTGTATGGCTATGTTGCTTTTAGCTCCTCTAATGCTCTCAATACTGTGGCGTTAGAAACTGCTCATTACAAGCACCCTCATTTTACAGGGGAAGAAACTGAGGCAGAGTGGTTAAGCAGCTTGCCCTGAGTTTGTACAGCCAGGAAGCAGCAGAACCAGGAATACGTGTGCCAAAGCACTCTGCAAATTGGCAATGTTGTCCTACTGCACGTGGCCTTGGGTGGGGGGCAGTGGTCCTGGGCCTGCCTCCAACTTCACCCTGTGCGGCCCCCAGGAAGAAATGTCAGCTTTGCCCACGTCCCCAGCTCACTGCAGAGGAGTCCAGAGGAGCACACAGGGTGGGAACATTCCTGATCAAGACCTCAGAACTTCTTGGCACCTTGCCTCTTGAACTGTGGTCCCCAGATAGCAGCCGTGACATCCCCTGGAAGCCTGTTAAAAGGACTATCAGGCCCCAGGCCCGACCTGCTGCATTAGAATGGGCATTTTCATGAAATGTCCTGGGATCCTGGATGCACCCTGAGGTTGAAGAAGCAATGGCCTTCGCACATAGAATTACTTCCCCGGCTAGTTTCTGGCCCACACCAGGGGATTTCCATGTACCCATCCCAAAAGTCTGGATCACTACTAAGGGACTGAGCTGAAAGTCCAAGCAGTCTTCCTGCCCAACCCAGTCTGCTTGCTCCCTCTGGGAAGCCCCTGCTCCCAAGCACACGGGGGCCCGTCCACCTCTGTGGGAGCTGTCGCAGGCTGCTCCCAGCTACTCCTGGCCTCAGGGTACGCCTGCTGTTCTCTTTCAGCTCAACTGGCCGCAGAGACACAGAGGAACGAGAAAGTCCAACTCTCACACTTGGTAAGAAAGGCAGCCAGCCCGAAGCCCCAGCTCAGATGGCAGTGGGGCTGGGCATCAGGACTCCCCGGGCGCTGTCTCTGTACCTCCCTACCTGTTTGTCTCTGAGCTCCAGGCAGGGCTCACTTCCCATCTCTGGGGAATCTGTGTGAGCCCTGAGACCAGCCCTTCAGGGTGCCCCTCCTCACCCTGACGGCCCAGCAGGTACCAGGCGGGGGTCTTCCCCAGGCCCAGCGCCCTCTTCGCCTCCCCATCTTAGAAGCAGAGAGTGTCAGAGCCGGATCCTCTGGGTCTCTGCGAGGGCTGCGGACTCACGGGCTCAGGCCGCAGAAGCCTCACTTGTGTCCACCCCCTCTTCCCGCTGTTTATTGAGAGGCCTCCACGTTATTCTCTTGCACACAGGGGCAGGAAAGGGGGGCTGCCATTTCCTTCTTTCTTGGCGCCAGTGAGGACAAAAGACTCAGGCCTGATCCCCCTGGGAAGGGGCTGGGACACGAACAGGGTCCTGGGCTTTGGCTTAGGAAGCAGCTGTTGTTGTCTCAGGAAGCCCGGCAAGGCCAGAGGTGGTGGACAGGAGTGAGGGAAAAGTCACAGACCCGGATGGGGAGGGGGGCTGCCACTGTCCTCCAGAGGTCAGCTTGGGCCCAGCCGTGCGTCCTAGGGCGCACCCTGCCGGCTAGAAGAGGGGCGGGGGCAGGACGGAGAACCTCTATGCTGGGCTGCCCACTGCCACCCAGCCCACCCCCAGGAGGGCTGCCTGGGACTGCTTCCAGCCTGCCACACCTGTCCCCGCCCCTGCTGACCCCTTGTCGGGGGGAGGATGGGACAGGGTCTCCCGAGAGGGTCAGAGATAAGACCTCTGTGAACATGACCAACCGAGAGCTTTTGGTTTTCTTTGGTTTATTTCCCTTTGGGCTTCTTTGTAGTTTTTAGCAGGGGCTGCAGGTGGAATTGAAAGGGCTTGGGGTTTTCTTTGCCCACATTCAGGTCAAAGAGGGAAGGGGGCACTCTACTGGCTCTGTCAGAGAGCCCCAGGGGCGTGTAAAACTCGGAGGGAGGTATGAGGGCTCAGGCCAGTATTTCCCTTGCCCACAGAGCTCTTTCAGGAAGCTCCCTTTTCCTCTTTAACTGAACACCTACTATGTGCCAGGGGCTTTACCTGTGTCACCAAATCTTCATAACTCCTGCACAAGGTAGGGGTTATCATTACCCCCTTCCTACAGAATAAGAGACAGAGGCTCAGAGAGCATAAATAACTTGCCTCCAGAGACCCCGCGTGAAAGAGGCGAAACCGGGGCAACGGACCCGGTCTGCAGGGCTGGCCGCAATACCCTGCGCTGCCCCCACCCTGCCCCACTGGCGTGCCGAGGGCTGGAGGCGTGGGGCCAACTGCTCGACCTGCCCGAGCCTATTCCCCTAGACTCAGAAGAAAGAACCATCCTCAGGCCATGAACATGGGATGGCGTGGCCCCTGACTCCTGAAACAGCCCAAGGGGGAGTGCTGGGCTCAGATTAGGGCTTGGCTCCCACTTCCCAAGGCTTCCCCGATTCCCTATTTTCCTAGTGCTTAGACGTAGAGGCTCCCATTTGTGAAATCTCCTCCCACTCCCCCATTCCCTCGTCCCCTCGTCCCCCCAGCCCCCCTGAGGAATTCTGCTCTGATTTTCATCTTGTCCTGTAAGACTGAATGTGTCGCCAGAGATGGCGCAAATGTCCACTTCTGCCCCCATCCCCTGCAGCCAGGGCAGCAGTAGAAGAAGGAGGGGGCAGTTAGGAAACAAGGGCATTGAAAAGAAGGGAAGTGTGTGCGGCATGCCCCGCCAGGATGGTGGCAGAGGATAGAAAAAGAGCCCGGGTCCGAGGTCACTTGGTCGTGAGTTCAAGTCCCAGCTCTGAGCCCAGGGCTCAGAGAGGTGACTACCTGCCTCTCTTCCCTTGGCTTCCTTATCTGATCAAGGAGGGGAGCTCAGGCTTATGATTTGTAAAGAATTTTTCCTCTGCAGTTTGTTATTCGGTGAACCTTTGAGGTGTTCAACTTTGTTCTCCCTGGGCCTGCAAGGAACCGGCAGCCTGCACATTCTTTCTGCTTCGAGGATAGACATAACAATAATGAAAACAAATGAATCATTCCAGGAGTTCCCAGGCGTTGAGCAGTAAAACATTTCCATGAATATTCATTATAACCCTGAGGGAAAAATTCTTATCCCCACTTGACAGCTGAGGAGACTGAGCCTCAGAGAGCTTAGTGGCATGCCCAAGGTCACTCTGAGATGTAGAAAATAGGATGGAAGGGCTCTGACCCCACAGCCTGCCCACGCTCTCCCATGGCTCCCCTCTCTTGCTGTGGGGGGTGGACCATCACTGCTGCTGGGAATGGGCTGTGCTGACTGAATCTCTGTTTCAGCCGCTGGAGTACACCATGATCAGCCTCGCAGGGCCCCCTGGGCCCCACGCCAGCCCCAGCCCGTGTGCAGAAACCCAGGGCCTCAGCCAGGTGTGAACAGAGGGCATGCAGGGGCGGGGGGGGGGGGAGTTGTGCCTGGAGCCACCTAGCCTGGCTTCTCTCTGACAATGCAGGGAAGTGGGGGGGGGGGCTCTTTCCTCAGCATCTGCTCCCTGAACACTGCCCCCTGCATCCACCCACCTACGCCACCATCACCAAAGGTGCAGGCCTTTTCATTCGGGAGTCAGGACTCCCAACCTTACGTCCTTCTTCCTCCCATCCAGAAAGTTCTTGAATAGCTTGTTAGTAGTCACAGTTTAAAGAGCTCTGGACTGGCAGGATTCCAACACCTGCAGGCAAAAACCTGGCCAGAAGCCCTGAGGATGCTCTTGCAGATGGGGTGGGGGGATGTTTGGGAGGAGGTGAGGGGCATGAATCAAAGCCTGGGGGTTCTGGGGAGAGCTTGTTAGTCTGTGCCCCTTAGAAGGACAGAGGCCCAGAACTGTGGAAAATGCTAAGGCGGACCCAACAGCTACCTGGAGACCCCCCGCGGCTGAGCTCTACTTTTCAACCCCTGACTCTTGCTCTGCTTTTCAACCCCTGACTCTTGTCTTTACAGACTTCAGAGGAAGATGAAGCCCCTTCCCAGGACCCAGAGGGGGACATGATCCCAGGGCCTCCCCTGCACATGTCTGGGGAGGAGCTCGGCTTCTCGAAGTTCACATCAGTCTAGCAGTGCCCTCCAGGCCAGCCGGCCGGGAATCTGAATGGCTGCATTTGCACTAACTCCCATAAGCTTTCCTCCACAGCTTCAAAGCTTGCCTGCCAGACTCCGGGCTCTCCCCCGCGGTCCCCAGGCTCTCCTCCTGCATGCCCAGCCTGACCCGAAAGTCTTTGTCAGCCCCAGGGCCTGAAGTGGTGGCCTCACAGAACCAGTGGGACCCTGGGACCTCCTCGGTATGTGCACACCAGGGCAGGGCGTGCAGCTGGAGCTCGCCAGAGCCAGGCAAGGCTCAGCAGATCTGGTCTGAGTTTGTATCCACTACAAGAAATCCCTTGCGCCCGGGTGCCCAGCAAAAGACCCCCACCTTCTTCTCACTTCATTCCATCCTGACTCAGGACCACTTTCTCCTGCATAAGTGGACGAGGAGGAGGAGGAGCATGCTGGGAATAGACGGGGTTCCAGTTTCTCAAAATGGGACTGCATCCCAGTCCTTCAGGAGGCTGGTTAAAAATGTGACTCCTGGGCTCTACCAAGACCTACCAAAACCCTCTCTGGGGCTGGACCCACAGCTTTGCATTTCTAACAAGTGTCCAATGACGCTAATACTTGAATTTGAGGAGCAGTAGATTCAGGTTCATCCAGGTTAGAGTCTACATTTGGTGTGTGGGGTCTCGCAACTGCCCCGCCCCCCCCCCCAGGGACTTCCCTGCCTAAGACACCATGACCCAGATAGGCGCTTTCCTGGGCCGGTCCAAGGCCAGGCCCAGGTCAGGTGCGCATTGGAAAGGGTGAGCCCAGGACTGACGGAGGGGTTACATTTCCCCGGCTCCCCACCCAGCCCTGCATCCCAGGCTTTGGAAGGAGGCCAGAGAAAAGCTTCGCTCCTTCCCTGTTGAGAAAGGGTTAATTGCCTGTGGGTTGGGGTTAGGGAGGGGTAGGAAAGCACAGGGTGCCGGTAGGCATCTAAAAGGCAGGAGAGAGAGGACAGGGCAGGAACATAGGAGGAACCTGAAGGTGACCCTGAGTCTGGCCCCCTGGAGATCAGGAAGCAGGAGGGGGTAGAATAACAGGACTGCTATTTTTTTCTTTTTTGACTTTCTTTAAAAAGTGAGATGGGTGGTCGCTCAGTATACAAAAGTTAGAAACACGTCAGGGAGGAGAAGAAAACTCACTCAGGCTCACCATTCCCCTAGATAATCACAGCTGCGTTTTGTTGCATTTCCTTCCTGTTTTTTTACTCCACATCATTTGCTGGTGTTCTCTGACAAATTAGTTTGTATATACAACTTTGGATCTTGCTTTTCCCACTTAATTCTTTTTTTTTTTTTTTTAAGATTTCTGTTTGTAAGTAATCTCGACACCCAGCGTGGTGCTCAAACTCACAACCCCAAGATTAAGAGTCGCACGCTCCACTGACTGAGCCAGCCAGGTGCCTGCCCACTTAATTCTTATAAACGTTTCTCCATGTTTTACCAACGTTTATAAATAAAATGTGCATCAGCTCTGTGATATTTCCTCACAGTGTGCCTCCATTTATTTCAATTCTCTCTCATTATACAATTTGTTTCTATTTTTGCTATTATAAATAACAGCATAGTGAGTCTTCCCACAAGGCTTGATTTGCATTTGGAGACTTCTTGTAGAAGCATTTGTGTGCATGGAAGTGCCAGGTCAAATGCGAACATTTTTGACGTTACCAATACCCATTGCTGAACAGCTGAACAGCTTTCTGAAATGACAGAAGAAATTTCACTCCCATCAGGGCCTTCCAAGCAGCATTTCTCAAAGTCCTCACCAGTGTCTACACCTGTCGTTGTGGGTATGGCAGGAAGAACCACAAAGAAATGCTCCTGCAGTGAGGGCCTAGGGGGCTGGGCAAGGTCGGGCAGGTCTGATAAACCAAGGGAAACTCTCCAGAAGGTGCCAGCCACTGCCCCAGGTCCCCAGGGATGGGTGAACTCCTCTTACCTTCTCCGGGTGGAGAGGGAGCCCTGGGTGTGAGCTCTGGGGTCTCTGCCCAGGATCTGGGCACAGTGTGTGCCCAGATGTTGGGGGAGGTAGGGAACACCAAGTTTCAGGTGGTGTCAGAGAGACCCCAAAATCTCACCCTGTGAAAAATCCCTCAGCTGTAAGGTGGTAAGAATTGGGGCTGCCCAGTGGGGAAAGAATGTCCTCTCAACCTGTCACCTGCTGCAACCAGGGCTTCCTGGGGACCAGGGGGTGGTCAGCCAGGTCATCGCCCTACCACCCCTTGCCCATTTGCAGACCATTGTGCCAACTAAATAGATTGATGTCTTTTGAGAGGCCCAGATCTCTCCAAGGCAACCTAGGGTTGGCGTCCTTGGGATTCCAAGTTTCCACGGATTTATCAGATACTTGAGTACCCTCCATAGACATTTGCTCACTCCCTTAATGCCCACTGCTGCCGCCGTGTGGGCGCAGTCCCGCCCTCCGGGCAGGGGAGAAAGACCACTCCTTTACCAGTTGCCGCTTTGCAACCCTCCATCTTGAAACACCTTAGTTTTATGTTTGTACATAAAACTTTTCTACTTGCCTCAGTATTCTGCAGTCTTACTCCTGGCCATGAACTTCTTGTTTTCTTGTTTGCAGTAAATTCTTGTATATGTGAATTCATGCCTTTCATCGGTTCTAGGAAATTCTCCTCAAATATTATCTGCTCTCCATCACTTAAAAATCTTGCCACTGACCAGAATTACATTTTTCTAGACCCTCTGTTTATCGCTGCTGTATCTCTTAACCTCTCCTTCATATTTCCCTCCTCATCTCTTTGTTCTGCAGTCTATGTCATTTCTACCAGTTTAATACTTCTCAAACCTGAATATGCCTACAGATCACAAGGAATCTTGTTAAACTTCAGATTCTGACCCAGTAGTTCTGGGGGGAGCCTGAGAGTCTGCATTTCTAAGAAGCTCTCAGGGCTGATGATGCTGCAGGTCCAAGCACCATACCTAGGGGAACAACTTTCTGGTTCACTAATCTCTATTCAGTTGTGTTTAATTGGCTGTTAAACCCCCCAAAATTAGTTTTTATTTTCATCCTTGTATTTTTTGTTTTGAAAAGTTCTGAATGGTTCTCTTTCAAACCTGACTAGTCATTCTAGAGTCGTGTTGCTTGTTAATTTTTGTAATGCCATCTTTTATTCCATTAAATATTTTGTACACACATAGTTTACATTTTGGTGCCTAATATCAAAAGTCCCTGGAGAGGGGCGCCTGGGTGGCTCAGATGGTTAAGCGTCTGCCTTCGGCTCAGGTCATGATCCCAGGGTCCTGGGATCGAGTCCCACATTGGGCTCCCTGCTCCTTGGGAGCCTGCTTCTCCCTCTGCCCCTCTCTCTCTCTCTCTCCCTCCATCTCTCATGAATAAATAAATAAAATCTTTAAAAAAAAAAAAAGTCCCTGGAGATATAAATATGCTATTGTTTATGTTGACTGTCACTCATAGTGGTTTGTTTCTTTTTATTTTGCGATCTCATAATGTGAGCTCATGTTTGGATGATTTCAATCTGGGGGGCTGAAATTGAGGATACCTTCCTCCAAGGAGGATCTGCATTTGTTTCTGTCAGGGGCCAGGATACCAACTTGGGACCAGATTAGCCCCTTCCCAGATCCCTAATTTACCAAAACCTCAGGTTGCCCCTGGCTTTATATTTAATTTTCCAAATGTGATGCTAATATTGTCATTCGCCTTTTAGGGTAACTCCACCTTTCCTGTCCACTCACCATGCTTCTTGGATATTTCCCTTCCCACAAGCTCAGCAACACAATAAAACTTGTTTTATGTACAATCTCATTGTTTAAAAGCACATTGGTACCTTGATCATCACTCTGCCTGAACCAGATTCTGACTCCCATTTCCCAGGCACTATGTATCCCTTACGTCTTTGTGTAACTCCAGGGAAAGGAGGAAGCCCTCCAAAACAGGACTGAGATTTCAGTTCTTTCTACTCTAATGAGCAGAGAGTAGGGAAAGATTTGATTCAAGTTAGGAAAAAGGGTGGGGGGAGTATTTCTTAAATTGGCATGTGATAAAATAAAATTCATAATCACCACATCAGAATAAATGATAATTCTTAAACTTAAATACATTCAACTTAATGATAAGCTTTCTGCTTTGTTCTTAATTTCCTCATATTGTCACAGATGAGATGGTCCACAGACCAGTGCTTGGGCACCTCTACCACATGGTATGAGGGCAGGATCATGGGGAACCGCAGAGAGAGGAAGATCTCTTTCTGGAAGGAAGACCAAATCCTGAAAAAGTGGGTGGGGTGGGACCTACACACTTAGATAATTTGTGGAATTGTCAGGCACCGTGCCAAGACTTGTGAAAGTGAAAAAAGAGGGAAGACAAATATAAGCCATATCCAGATGCTGCCTACACTGCCCTTTCTCCTTCCTGGGCGGGGATGATGGTCAGAGAAGCACACTCACGCCTCACACCTGCCACATCTGGTTGTCACTGTGGCTCCAGCATGGTCTTTTTTGAGGACATCTGGCTGCTCCCATGAGCTGGGGTTAGATCTCTCAGTGGGTTTAATTACACAGATACCTTGAGTTTTGTACTGGGGTTGTTATTGTGAACAGGGTCTTTTTTTTTTTTTTTCCTATTATGTCTTCTAATAAATCATCCAGTTCCTTAAAAAATAATGGCATGGTACCTTAAGTATTAATTCAACACCATCTTCTGAGCACCGTTGAGTGGGGCACAGTCCCTACATCCAGAGGCCCAGAGTCTGAGGGAGCAGAGAGGACAAGAGTCCCCAACAGGATGCTGTGATAAGCTGTTTCAGGAGCGCCAAGAAGAGGCTCCTTGATCAGATCAGCTCATGGAGGAGTCACAAAGCATTTCCAAGAGGTGATGATGCTGGAGTAAATTCTCAAAAATAAGGTAATGTTTGATAAGCGAATGAATGAATGCTTGTCGCACACTGAAAAACTATTGGTATTTTGGTTATTGAATTTGCTTGCCTACTACTGAATCCTCAT